TCTTTACTGAATCTGAATGTGCCATTTCACCTGAGCTGACGAAATGAGGTAACTTCATCCTTGGTATAGGTAAAGTTTTGCTTATCTTTCAGTATTTTTGTGTGATCCTGTGTCTGGATTATAAACCAAATTACTTATAATAAACCAGTTTTAACATTATTTCCATTGCTAATGTTTTACATATAATGTTTATTGCCACAAGAATGAAAATTTTGTTAGTATTTTTGTGGCCTACTCATATTGGCTTACTAATTATATTGTGATTTCTGAGTTGGATTATGTTTTGAATGTGAATATTAGTCTTTAGGAGAAAAAGAAATTTGTTCTGTAAATCCATTCATTTTAATAATGAAAGAGAGGAGAGTATATACTATGAATATATTGTAATCTTAGCTTGAAGGCTAACACTAAATATATTAGGTCATGATGTGTTAGCTATAGCACAGTTGTGGGTATGCCATAGCATTTATGCAAATTTTGATCCTATGCTATTTAGCTGCTAATATGTCTGAAAATTTTGGTGGAAGTCATTGCACATAATAATTTTTTTTCTTTGAATTTTCCATATCTTTGAAGCTAAAATCATGTTAAGGCAATTAAAGTTAACAATTAAATTTAAAATTCTTGTCATATAGTCTTTGCAAATATTTAGCTTAAGAGTACAGAGTGGTAATAATTTGATATAAGATACCAGAAAATAAATGAAATTTAATTTCTTTTTAGATTTTTCTTTAAGATCAGTGCTGTTAAATAACCTTAGAGTGATGGCAAAGATATACATACAGTGGCCTGTATGTGCATCTTTTTGCATTTTCAGACATAAATCTGTTAACTATATAAAAATATATATAGATAGATATAAATCTGTTACACTAGGTGATTGCCATTATTGAAATATATGATTCCATTTGCATTGCATTAGATTTTTTAAAGAATCATTATAGTGCTAGCATGTTTGATTTTTTTTTTTATCACATTCATCAGACTCTTTTCTCTACTCCTTTTCTCTACTTCTCTACTTCCCCAAAATAATGCTGTTTGGAGTGAGTGCTCAGAGTAGAGTCTCACATAGTCATATTTTGAACGCTTAGGATTCTGAAACCATTTCCTCAACTTCTTAATTCTTTTTACACTAAAGTTGTTGACTAAAACCTCATTAAGAGCTATGAAACATATTATCCAATAAATGTGCATTATACTTATGATATCTCTATCTAATTTCTTTTAACACCAAGGTACAAATAGCATGTATTCTGTTTTTACTTTTTTGTTTAATAACTTGCCACTCAAATATAAGGCTGAAGATTAATTTCCCATGATAAAAGCTATGCCTTCTCACACCCAGAGAAGTTGTGTGTTAAAATGTGTGTAACATTACCAGTAACCCTGCATTATTTCATCAGCATTCAACTGTACTTGAGTTTTTTTTTCACTTATCTGTTATTTAGTGTCATTTATTCATTGAGTCTTATGACAAGACAGAATTTGAGAAATAAATCCCCTACACATTTTCTAAAACATCTGTTGCAGTTTATGTAGAATAATCCATGAAAATACTGAGATGAGATATTTTTTCTGTTTATAAGAAGGAAAAGAAAATATTTATAATTTATGGAGCTCATTCCTTAAGACACCTTCTATCGACTCACTGTAATATTTCACATAAAAATCAGTGGATTAAAGATTTATTCATGCAGGATTGTAAATGGTTAATTGTAGTTGCACCTTTTATGTCCTATATTAATCTGTAGCTTTTTCTCAACAGTTGTGTTATCAAGGTATGAATTTGTGTACCCTGCCTATATAACATCAGGTGAGGACAATAAGAAAATGAAAGCCCAGGCTCTTCCAGTCACCAAAAAGGACAGCCACATTAAGAAAGAGAAAGAAGGCGTTGTAGTCATAGGTAAGATTATTGTGGATAAGGTAAGATGTGCATTTAAGTAGGAAATTTTAGGCTCAGAGAATCCACTATTTTATAAAGTGTACAGTTTTATTTTCTCTCATTCTGAAACAATCCTTGAAGTAGAAATTATCTTGGTAATAGTATATTCTAACTATTTTTTTTACCTCTTCTACATTTTGTAATAATGTTAATTTTCTTTCTCAGTGTATTGTCGTCGAATTTGACTTTTTTTTATAACCAGTGAAGCTTCTATTTATTTTAACATGTCTAATATCTACAGGAATATTACAGCTATTTCATCATCCAACAGAACAACAGAGTGCCACAACCTTAGACTTGGTCGGTGAACAGGTTTGGCGTGGAGCTCTCCTTCTTGCAGACTTTATCTTCCATTATCCTGAGATCTTCAAGAATGCGAATATCCTGGAACTGGCTTCTGGGGTTGGATTGACTTCTATTGTTGCCAGCATGGTTGCAAAGAAAGTGTTGATTACAGGTGAGAATCGATGCTTTGAAATATTTCTTTGTCCTTTCTTTTTTGTTTCTTTCTTCATATTGTTTTCTTTTTTCTTATTCTTTTAATGATATGCACTAGAAGGAAATCCTCTGCAATGTCAGTTGTAATAAAGTTTGAGTTATTGATAAAGGAAATATTAAATATCAAAATCTTTTTATTTATTATATTTGAAGTTGTTATAAATTCTTATTCTTATTTTTCCTTACTTACCAACAATATTTTCTCTGTACATATACTGAGATACAGCCTGATCCATATTCTTTAATATTTGGTGAGAAGAGGCAGCAGAATTCTCAAATTACTTTTGAACCCAATGATCCTGACCATTAATGGCATGACACTATAAACAATAATCTGTGACAACCTTCACAATTCCAAGACCTTAAGCCAGACTATTCTAAGGTTCAAATGATGATGGATAGCCTGGCGCTCAGCTTTTCTACCATCTGTCCATTCGCTCTGCTGTGTGGCTCTCATAATGTTAAAGTATTCACTACCAGTCTGATAAGCCAAAAGCAAGATTTGAGAGACAGTATTGAGAGTTGGTCTGCTAAACTCTTATTTTCATTCACACATCTCAACCACAGCTTCCTTCAAAACACATAAGCACATTTTTCAAGGCCATTAAGTGCTTTAACTCTTAAGGAATGAAAATATTTATCTGATCCTCCAAGTCAATATCATACTTTTGTTGTGATGTAGTGGATGAAGGATGTTATGTTGGGAAGGATGAAGAGAATTCATCACTGTTGAATTTACAGGATGCCAAATGCCCAGGGACAGTGACCATGATAAGCAGTATCTTGAAAAAGATGTTATTTTTGGATAAATACAAACCTCAGAACATAAATATCTACAGAGCTAATCCACGAAGGACTTAATGGACAATGGTGAAAAATGCATCTACATTAGTCATCCAGTAGATGGGCAACTAGTTCTAGGCTTTGAATGTTAGGGCACAGGTATTTGCAGGTATTTGCAGACATAGCATAGAAATCATCTAAGTCTAATCATGAAATCAGCTGCATTGCCACAAAATAGCTGTACGAGTCTTTGTCAGTCTCCTGGTAGCTAGTGTAGGCCCCACTTGCATATTCTAGAACATAGCAGCTTCTATTACTCTTTCCTTGATACCATTTGAAATTCTCAAGCCATCTCATGCTTTCAGTAAAATGAGATATATTACAGGATGATAAAGTGCACTTGCCTTCGTCACCATCACACATCTTCTTAAAAAGAGAAAACCCCTTTTTACATATATTTACTTGGAATCCTTCCTCCTGAACTCATGTGTGAGTGTTATTTCCAAATGAAAAGTGTATTCTCCAACTTGATAATGTTTCATGCAAAATGTACTAACTTGCATACCCTCCCAAATGCTCTTTTCTGCCTTGTTGATCATTCACACAGCTTACTCATTTATACCAAAACTGCTGGCAGACATTTCCTTTACTGCCACAGAGATGGCAGTAAAAAGGTAACAGCATGAGCCAACAACCAAAGCAGATGAGATACAGGAAGCTGCTTTGTAATATATATGTACTCAACCCATAGGCACTGCATTCATTAGTTCATGAGTTACTACAGTAAACTACTTGGAATTATAAAAGAAGTAAAAAAAAGAAGTAAGTTTATTTGTATATATTACACAGAAATTCCTGTAGATTTTTTGTGTTCAATGTGGTCAGATAATAGTATGCCTGACATCTCCATGTGACAAACTGTTCTGTTTGCTTTGTTTAACCAGCTTTTATCCATATTTATATTTTTTTTATTCTTTAGCAGAAAATTAAGCAGCTTAAAAGAATAGAAGACTGAATTCAAGTCAAACACGAGATTAAAGTGCTAGGGACACATATGCACCTCTACCATACATGTCATTCATAACCACACCAATTCTTACTAATTCTTGCTCATATTTATACACTAACTCGTAGTGGTCTGCAATATATTTTTGCAGTACACTGTAATAACTGCATTAGCTATTTCTCTGTTGTATTTTTTTTCAGATGTGGACCGTGGGGATATTTTTTCTCTAATTGATCGCAATTTCAAAAGAAATAAAGCATTGGTTAAAGCAGAAACCCTTGTGAAGGAACTAGATTTTGACAACCATGCTACAATAGATGAAAACTCTGAGTTACTTAAAGACTTCCCTATCATCCTGTCTGCAGATAGTGAGTTGTTTTATTGTGATTCAGTTTTACGTCATGACCTCCCTTTTTTGGAAGGGGTAGGATAGTGCCTTCTTTCAAAGGACTTTTGGTATTGGCAATGACAGACTATTCCCCGGAGTGGATGCCCTTCCTTACCTCAGACAGTGGGCAGGATTCGAACCTGATCCCCAGAAGCATGTACCCCTACTGTACCACAGCTGCCCCACGGATAGTAAGTTTTATCCAAACTCATGGATAGAAAGTTTTATTCAAACTCATAGGTAGTAATTTTTATTTAAACTCATAGATAGTAAGTTTTATTTAAACACATAGATAGTAAGTTTTATTTAAACACATAGATAGTAAGTTTTATTTAAACTAATACAGTACATAATGTGTTTCATTAATGAAGTTTATTCTGATACATCAAATTAATATTTATACATTTTGATAAAGAAACAGTTTTGATTTATTTTCTAATCCATCTATGCTTATCCAAAATTCATTCAAGTCTGTTTATTCAGACTTACCAAACCCTATCATTGCCCCCTCCCCCCCTCCTATAGAAAATAGTGGATTCCTAGGCTTTAGCTAATTACCTCTATAAATTATAGACTGTATCCTTGTACCATTGCAGCAAGTACATAGGATGCCATAACTCCAAAATATTATTCAAAAGCTTTGATGATAGATCCACCATCAGAGGCAGGCAAATGATTAAAGTTTACGTATGCTGAATTATTAAAGTATTTATTTATGATTCATGAATAAATTTTATCCTGGTGGTTGGGTGATAAAGTAAAACCCACTCTTTTATTCTAGATATTACCACTTGGTCATTAGGATAGATTAATGAAAAATCTTATGTTAGTTAATGGACTAAAGAAAAAGGTTGGAAGACTAGTCATGTGATACTAGAAATATTGTTGAATATTTATATCCATGTTTGCTTTTTACTCCTTGATAAAATAATTGTTGATTTTTGTTCATAGAAATATGATAAAGGGGAAACTGATTTTTTGGGGTAATGAAAATGATAAATAAATACTTTTATATGATCTCTGCTTTTAATCATTATAGATGCAAAATACCATAATAGACATAAATGTGTTATGTATTGCAATATTTTTTCACGGTATTGCAGATATAAATGCATAGATTTGTTTTTCATTTATTGTATTTATTGTTTCTGTAGCTTACATTTCAGTATCTTAGGAAACATGAAAGAAATTTGAAGAAATAAGTTGAAGATTATTAATATTTTTTCCCTCTTTTTTATAGTAATATATAACAACCAGTTGACAGATCTGTTCTTCAAAACTGTATTGAGATTGATGAGTGATCCACCTAACAAGATATTATATGTGGCACAGGAGAAAAGGTATGCTTTATATATTTAAGTGTATGAATTATTCATATATAGATGAAAAAAGATATGGTACAATATGTGTGTGTGTGTGTGTGTGTGTGTGTGTGTGTGTGTGTGTGTGTGTGTGTGTGTGTGTGTGTGTGCGTGTGCGTGTGTGTGGGGGGGGGGGAGTGCATGCTTGTGTGTGTGTGTGTGTGTGTGTGTGTGTGTGTGTGTGCGTGTGTGTGTGGGGGGGGGGTGCATGCTTGCGTGTGTGTGCGCTTGCGTGCGTGCATGTGGGAGAGAGAGAGTGGGAGAGGAAGAAGGAGGAGGAGGAAACAGGAGAGAGAGGAGGGAGAGGGAGATGGAACAGGAGAGATTAGAATATGTCCTATATTATAATATTTGCATATTTGCAAAAATGAAATAATGATACTGTTAAACAGATATAGAAATCAAAAACAAAATTAATGCAGTGCAATCCTTATTTTCACAGATACATTTTTTCACTCGCATTTTGCTATGAATATTTCCTTGACCGCATAGAGTGGCTGCGTTCTCAGAATACGTCAAGCATTAACTGGACAATAGAAGAAGTCCCCATCGATTTCAAGCAGTACTTCATCTATGAAAAGTCAGAGAATCTAGTTCTTTGGAAAATTTGTGCCGAGTTAAAATGATCTGTAGCAATTAATATATTTCTTGTTACTAATAAGTGTTATATACATAGGTATTCAAAATTGTATTTAAGGCAATAGGAGGTCTAGAGATATGCAATGAGAATGGAAATGAGATTTGATATATTTTTCCTCTTTGTACAAATTTGTGATGTCCATTTACTATGAAATCTTTAAGAGTTAAATAACTTATCACTGTAGGCAATGTATTTGGCACATTTCGATTAAATCTACGTCAATATTGGATGTGTAGTGAATCTCCAGCCAAGTGGCAGAGGAACCGGAAGAAAGAACATGTCTCCCCTCTGAAAACCAAACGAGGCCGCCCATGCCCGTGGATGACCTATGTCCAGGAAGCTGGGGAGGGGAAAATGTTATGTTTTATGGTGTTGCATATGTTTTTATGGTGTTGGCTATGTTTTATGTTGAGAATTATATTGATTTGTATTTTTATTCTTGTTTTCTCTCACCTAAACGGCACAGAAGAGCACATTCTGCCTCATGGTGGATCATATAATCTTTTTATCCTTTTTAGTAAAGTTCTAATAAATCTTTTTACATATTTTAAGATTTCTTTTAAATCAAATAGTCTTTTTTAAAGGGGAAAGGGCATTTTATGAAGAGAGGAAGACACCGCCATCTCTTAATAATAATATCTTAATAATAATGCTTGCTGGGAGGGTTATATATAGGTCCGGAATGGCCAGGTCAAGGGGGGGAGAGCATCTTTTAGCCATGGGGCGTTTGGTCCCTGGTCACGAGGTTTACATAGTAAAAGGCGGTAAGATGGTATCTTTACTTTTTTTGCTCTTTTTATCTTTGCTCTTCAGTGCTCTTTTTAGTAAGTTCATTTACTTTTTTTGCACATTCAGTTTTAATGTTCAGTGTTCCCTTTTTATCTTGTTGTTCAGTGTTTCTTTTTATCTTGCTCAGTGCTCATTTACGTGTTAAAGTTTAGGGTTGTGTTCCTTTTTAATGTCAAGTGTTTTTTTGGCACTTTTACTCCCACCTGTTTTTGGGAATATGGAGGGTGATTCTCCATTTTTTTTTATTGTCTTTGTGGATTTGAATTAAAGGATTTATGCTTTTAATAAACTTTTGTGAAATGTATTTACTGTTTTTTAAGACTCCATAATGTCTCCCCTTTGCATTCCAAGGACGTTAAAGTAAATTGATTAACTTCTTTGATACCATAAGTCTGCACAATCGTCACGCACTCCATCTCGGCCATAGTCACACTAACCAGTGTTGACCCTCAAACCTACGTACTTTTTATACACTTACACTTGCTTTCTTTTAACTTTACTTACACTCTTCTACATGCCTCTCACTTTCCGAACACGACACTTACATTCCTGGACGAATTAACCTGGTGATGGCAGCTCAAATATTCCGTACAAAGGGTCGAAGTTAACTTTGTAGATCACGACAGATGTAATGCTGTGTAAAATTAAATCAAAACACTTAAGTTACTGCTCTTGTGTTGTTTTTTGTTGGCATTTTCACCTTTTTCTACATTTCTCACAATGAAGTATAAAAAATTTTGTGAGAGTTAAGTACCAAGGTTGCTTATTTTTAAGGTCCCAGATTGAATGATGCAAAACATTTGTTGAATTTTGGAACATTATAATGTGTTATACTACAGGAGCCAAGAAGCATTTATAGTGACAGTAACTGGAAATCATTGGAAAATTTGACTAAGTTTTTTTGTGCTATTGGTAAGGTTCAGTATTTTATACAGTATATGAATTTTATCATGAGGGTAAGGAATTGGATCTTTGAAGAATTCAGAATACTCATCTTCTACTTCATTAATATGGTTATCAGAAAGGATGGCATGTCATTGTAAAGATACTAGATTTTAAAGCTTTGATATCATCTATGTATGTAATTGGCATTTCCATGTGTTCTTTTTTTCCCTTGTTCTTTTCCTTTTTACAGTAAAGAAAAAAATATAAAAACTATAAACTGATAAGGAAATGGCCTGGCTGTGAAAGGATATATGTCTTATAATGAATCTATTTCTATATTTTTCTCCTAAAAAGTCATGGAACTAAAAAAAAAAAAAAAAAAAAAAGAAGAAGAAAAAACAAGAACGAAAGAAAAAGGTGTTTCTGCCTTCGCTTTTTGCTGTGAAACTGCATCTCATCATTAACAAAGTACCCTCCAGGCCTAGAGAATTCTTGATTAAATAAAGGAAATAAAAATAAACATAGCACAATAATGCCAGGACACATCATATACTTCGTGGATATCATTGCATGTCGAAAGCAAGATTATATTCCATGAACTACAAGGGTAAGCCTGGGACAAGCAAAATGTGGATACAAAATATATCCATATTTACTACAGAGCTCAGAATACGTCTTCCTGGGATTTAATCATATTATCATAACTTCCTGTAATAAAGAACATTTGTTATTTCATTAAATCATCAAAGGCCTGAAAGCAATAGTGATGCATCAGGAGTGAATGTTTTGCATTACATCTCATACTTCAAGAGAAAGTAAAATAAAAACAGGATTTGTTCATATCAACTGATGTACATAAGCCATGCATACATAATGTCAAAACTTGTAATGTATTATTGTAATATGTTTCCACCATATATGAAATTCATTAGTCCTTGTCCCTTATCTATGTAAAATAATAATTATGATTAAAAATGTATGTAATAATAATAATTACTCAAGTACTTATTCCAGGTCAAGTTTATTAAACCCCTTCCACTAATTTTCAGTTTTAAAAGCTGTCAGGTTTTAAAGAATATATTTAGGGTGGTGGGCAAAGATTCTGGTGGGAGAGCTTGCATTATTTCTAAAAATCTTGTCATGTCAGAATTCTAATACACATATATGTGTGTGAATATATATATATATTTTTTTGTATATATATATATATATATATATATATATATATATATATATATATATATATATATATATATATATATACACACACACATACATGCACACATATATATACATATGTGTGTGTGTGTGTGTATATATATATATATATATATATATATATATATATATATATATATATATATATATATATATATATATATATATATATATACATATGTGTATATATATATATATATATATATATATATATATATATATATATATATATATATATATATATATACACATACATACACACATATATATATACATATGTGTATATATACACATATATGTATTTTATATATGTGTATATATATATGTATATGCATATATTATACATATATGTATGTACATATATACATATGAATATACATATATATGTATATGTATATATATACATATATGTATGTACATATATACATATGAATATACATATATATGTATATATACATATAGATATACATATATATATATATATATATATATATATATATATATATACATATAAATATACATATATATGTATATATATAGATAGATAGATAGATAGATAGATAGATAAATAGATAGATATACATATATATGTATATATACATATAAATACATGTATATATATGTGTGTGTATATATATATATATATATATATATATATATATATATATTGCAAATATTACATTATACATATAACATTTTATATATAAAAAATGTAGTAAATTGTTGATCTCAAAATAATCAAATAGACCAAGAAAAAATTTAGTATCACTAGTATCACCTATCACTTGTCCTTCGAAATGTAAAGCATAAAACTAAGGACTATAAATGTGTTTGAAATTAGCAATGAAATATCAGAACTTCCCATCGATAACATCAAAATATTGAATGGAAGGAATATGTGTGTGTGTGTGACTAGGGGATTCTGTGCAGTCAAATGGGGTTGAAGAAATACAAAAGGGCCTGCATGCAAACAAATATGTGCACACGTGCGCGCGCGCGCACACACACACACACACACATGGCAACATCCTAAGCATGGGTGTCATTTGAGAGGGGGGGGGGGAGAAGAGACCTTCCCTAGCTCCTTAATGGGGACTCCAAATGACCTAACCGTACCATAAAGTTATATCTAAAACATTTTGGTAAGTGATCATGAATTACATATCATTTAACGGGAGCTCGCAATACCGAGCCGCCAGACAGGGCTCACCTCGAGTCACTGGGGACAACGAGTTCAACTTTAGTATGTGATATTTTTATGACGAAGAAAATCGCAAAGACAGAGACAAGTCCAGCACATGAGGGTACTGCAGTAGCTACTTTTCGATCAAGCAAGTTGTAATAAAAATGTTTCTACTTGTTACCTCCTCAAGAGGTTAATTGGCTCCTGTTACATACTTTACGCGTCAGGACATGAGAGACAACTGCTCGATCAGATCACAAACGTTTTCATGTCTGCCGACGTTACATACGCGAGGAAGCAATAAATGAGTGATACCATGGAGAAGTACCATTATTAAATAATCTTTGTTCTTACTGGACAATATCAGTCTTCAAGAGAAAACAAATAATAATAACTGTATACTCTGGCAAGTTTGCCCTACACGCGAACATTATTCGAACCAGTTGAAACAGTTTTTTTTTTTCTTTTCTTTTCTTTTAAACTGATACAAAGAGATACACTCTAGTCAGAGGTTATATTTTTCAAATATATTGCACTTAGTCTCAGATAAGGATATATATATTAATCAATGACGAATCGCATCGTATGTTTGATACAAAATTCTTTTACATAAGTTCATACAATGTATCTGTCTTTTTAGCAGTACACCAAGTACATGGCCACTCTGCATAGGTAAGATTTGAGGTAAATAAGTCATTCTGTACATCTGATATAACGTAACAGACTGAATATATCAAAGAAAAAAAACTGTGTACCTTGATCTATCTATATATTACAGGCAGTCAGATAAGTAAATCCCCATTATCAGTGGAATCATCCAGTTGTCTCAGGCTCGAAACATGAAGCTCACTCGCGCCGGATACGATAAGACGCAACACTTCAAAAAACATACTTCCACTTTTATAGTCAAATCGATATCGACTACTTTGGAATCCCTTGTTCTAAATAATTCATATAAAATATTTAAGTTACTGTTTTCTTTCGTGACAAAAAAGTCAGTCCATTTACGATCAGTTGTTAATCTCCACTCCTGGCAACACAAATCAGAATGACAAAGAATACCAAAATTATATAATTATCACTTACAAGGAAACCCATATCAATGGCTGTCTAGAACGTGTCTCCATTGTGTGTATATATATGTGTGTGTGTGTGTGTGTGTGTGTGTGTGTGTGTGTGTGTGTGTGTGTGTGTGTGTGTGTGTGTGTGTGTGTGTGTGTGTGTGTACAAATAAATAATTATATATAAATACACACACACACACACACACACACACACACACACACACACACACACACACACACATACACACACACACACACACACACACACACATGTATATGAATTAATAAAAGATATAGATAAAACCATGAATATAATTATAAAACAATACTTGGCCTTAAGCATGAGAGACGTTCCTGCAAGTTGAAGAAGATATTTTAGAGGCGAGGAAAAACTACGAAGACAGATATCATTGGAGTCATTCCAAGAAGTGCATGTTCCCGTGCAAAAACCTCCCGCATCTGAAATAGATTGTTAAACCGATATTAAATGTATTCATTCGGGTGTCTTTTTGTGTAAGAACTAACTGAAGTGTTTAGAATTGGATGGCTGAGGCGAAAATTAACGTACGAGACCGGGTGCCGCTCGCCCCCCCCCCTTTCCTGCGTCAATATAGTATTCCCCGAAACGTTTTCTTTTGTTTACACACGTGTTTCAAAAAACGTTTCTTTATTTTCGTGTTGTTCCTATATTTTGCCTTTTTTTTATTTGTAACGGGAAGACTGCTTGTATAATCCGAATGAATAGATGTTTAAAAATTATCGCATATCACATGATTTCTTGGTCTTACAAAGAACACATTTTATTTGATATTTTCTCATTTACAAACCTACCAATACAACCATCATCCAGTACATCATAACCTCAATATCTTTAACATAACCACAGAGAATACCTCACCCTCAATAACCTCCATAAAATCCCCAAAACCCACCCCAATTTTCCCAAAGATCAAGCCAAAAAGAAAAAAAAAATCACGTAACAACTGCTTGTGAACCTGAGGGCCGAGTGAGTGAAGGTCAGAGCAGACGACACACAAACCGGGTTATTTTCGTCCCACTTACTGTCTTCTCGGATAAGTCTTGTGGGTTTACAGCTCGGCGGATGTTAGAGGAGAGAGGACATGGCTTCAGAGGATTCCGAGGAGCTCACCGTGACTTCAGAAGTACACCATTTCTCCAAGGAGGAAGTGATTGATGGTTCCGCGGGAGGCAAGTTTGCATGTATGAGTGACTATAGTGTATATCTGTCTGTGTGTCTGTGAGCATGTTTGCATGTATGAGTGACTATAGTGTATATCTGTCTGTGTGTCTGTGAGCATGTTTGCATGTATGAGTGACTATAGTGTATATCTGTCTGTGTGTCTGTGAGCATGTTTGCATGTATGAGTGACTATACTGTATATCTGTCTGTGTGTCTGTGTGCATGTTTGCATGTATGAGTGACTATAGTGTATATCTGTCTGTGTGTCTGTGAGCATGTTTGCATGTATGAGTGACTATAGTGTATATCTGTCTGTGTGTCTGTGAGCATGTTTGCATGTATGAGTGACTATAGTGTATATCTGTCTGTGTGTCTGTGAGCATGTTTGCATGTATGAGTGACTATAGTGTATATCTGTCTGTGTGTCTGTGAGCATGTTTGCATGTATGAGTGACTATAGTGTATATCTGTCTGTGTGTCTGTGAGCATGTTTGCATGTATGAGTGACTATAGTGTATGATCTGTCTGTGTGGTCTGTGAGCATGTTTGCATGTATGAGTGACTATACGTGTATATCTGTCTGTGTGTCTGTGAGCATGTTTGCATGTATGAGTGACTATAGTGTATATCTGTCTGTGTGTCTGTGAGCATGTTTGCATGTATGAGTGACTATAGTGTATATCTGTCTGTGTGTCTGTGAGCATGTTTGCATGTATGAGTGACTATAGTGTATATCTGTCTGTGTGTCTGTGAGCATGTTTGCATGTATGAGTGACTATAGTGTATATCTGTCTGTGTGTCTGTGAGCATGTTTGCATGTATGAGTGACTATAGTGTATATCTGTCTGTGTGTCTGTGAGCATGTTTGCATGTATGAGTGACTATAGTGTATATCTGTCTGTGTGTCTGTGAGCATGTTTGCATGTATGAGTGACTATAGTGTATATCTGTCTGTGTGTCTGTGAGCATGTTTGCATGTATGAGTGACTATAGTGTATATCTGTCTGTGTGTCTGTGAGCATGTTTGCATGTATGAGTGACTATAGTGTATATCTGTCTGTGTGTCTGTGAGCATGTTTGCATGTATGAGTGACTATAGTGTATATCTGTCTGTGTGTCTGTGAGCATGTTTGCATGTATGAGTGACTATAGTGTATATCTGTCTGTGTGTCTGTGAGCATGTTTGCATGTATGAGTGACTATAGTGTATATCTGTCTGTGTGTCTGTGAGCATGTTTGCATGTATGAGTGACTATAGTGTATATCTGTCTGTGTGTCTGTGAGCATGTTTGCATGTATGAGTGACTATAGTGTATATCTGTCTGTGTGTCTGTGAGCATGTTTGCATGTATGAGTGACTATAGTGTATATCTGTCTGTGTGTCTGTGAGCATGTTTGCATGTATGAGTGACTATAGTGTATATCTGTCTGTGTGTCTGTGAGCATGTTTGCATGTATGAGTGACTATAGTGTATATCTGTCTGTGTGTCTGTGAGCATGTTTGCATGTATGAGTGACTATAGTGTATATCTGTCTGTGTGTCTGTGAGCATGTTTGCATGTATGAGTGACTATAGTGTATATCTGTCTGTGTGTCTGTGAGCATGTTTGCATGTATGAGTGACTATAGTGTATATCTGTCTGTGTGTCTGTGAGCATGTTTGCATGTATGAGTGACTATAGTGTATATCTGTCTGTGTGTCTGTGAGCATGTTTGAGTGTGTGAGTGACTATAGTGTAGGTCTGTTTGTGTGTCTGTGAGCATGTTTGCATGTATGAGTGACTATAGTGTATATCTGTCTGTGTGTCTGTGAGCATGTTTGCATGTATGAGTGACTATAGTGTATATCTGTCTGTGTGTCTGTGAGCATGTTTGCATGTATGAGTGACTATAGTGTATATCTGTCTGTGTGTCTGTGAGCATGTTTGCATGTATGAGTGACTATAGTGTATATCTGTCTGTGTGTCTGTGAGCATGTTTGCATGTATGAGTGACTATAGTGTATATCTGTCTGTGTGTCTGTGAGCATGTTTGCATGTATGAGTGACTATAGTGTATATCTGTCTGTGTGTCTGTGAGCATGTTTGCATGTATGAGTGACTATAGTGTATATCTGTCTGTGTGTCTGTGAGCATGTTTGCATGTATGAGTGACTATAGTGTATATCTGTCTGTGTGTCTGTGAGCATGTTTGCATGTATGAGTGACTATAGTGTATGTCTGTTTGTGTGTCTGTGAGCATGTTTGCATGTATGAGTGACTATAGTGTATATCTGTCTGTGTGTCTGTGAGCATGTTTGCATGTATGAGTGACTATAGTGTATATCTGTCTGTGTGTCTGTGTGCATATTTTGGTAAATAAATATACGAGTGTGTGTATGGTTCCTAACGAATAAAACGGTAATAGGGTGGATGTGTGCTTGCCTTTGAGACCATATTACTCGACCTGTCAAAAGATCACCACTGCTAAATTTCAGATCTGCGCACAATTTCACAAGGGTTACAACAGATTGATAAGTCGCGGGAGGAGGTGGAGGAGGACGAGGATTTGTTTGAGTGTATCCTGGGAGCCAATGGCCAGGTTGTGCTCTGGAGTGCAAAGCGAGAAAGTAGGCATCCACTTCCTTCCAGACGTTTAGCACTGCTTGTTGCTCTGCCGTATTGACACAAATGACCCACGTGTATTGCCGTTACACCTTTTGCTGTATCCCTGCAACAGTCTGTGGTACCTCCAAGCTTGTTGTTGAAAATTTGACCCTTTCGGTAGCTGCTGTGATTAGTGATAACAGTCCCTTCCGTCACCTGGGCCTCCTGTTTCATAATCTTCTCTTTCTTTTCTTTTCTTTTCTTTTCTTTTCTTTCTTTCTTTCTTTCTTTCTTTCTTTCTTTCCTCTTCTTCTTCTTCTCTTTCTTCTTCTTCTTTTCTTTCTTCTTCTTCTTCTCCTTCTTCTTCTTCTTCTTCTCCTTCTTCTTCTTCTTCTTCTTCTTCTTCTTCTTCTTCTTCCTCTCTCTCCACCTTTGATGTTATCTATTCATAGTAACTTTGTTTGTAGTTATTATGTTATTGACTGATCTTTTTTTTACATTTTTATGTTATATGATTTTCCTAACGTCTCTATTTTGTGTTAATGATTTTCCTGTAAATTTATTGATTTTTTGTTTTTATGTAAATAAAGAAAAATAATCATTTGGTTCTTTTATATTTGATTTTTTTTATATATATAATTTTTAAAAATCTATTTATTTGTTTTTTTTTGTTTGTTTTTTTTGTATATGAATTTGAAGGAATTTAACACTTAAGATTGCTTTTGGTTCACTTTTAGAAATGGAAAAAAACTTTTATCTTGATTTTTTTGGGCTGAATACTTAGGAATTCTGTAATGTCAGGTGTTGTAAAAGGCCTTCTATTGTACCTTACAATTGTATATTATAGTATTATTGCAAATCTGTTCTGAATTTCCTGTAGATAGTGTTAGTTGCATTTTGAAGTAAAAATTTCTTCTTTGTTTTAAAATCAAACAGTTCTTCAAAGCAGAATTCTCTTTCCATATTCTGCAACACCAGTTAGTGTGAAAGTTTTTTATTGCATGGTATTTTACCTCCCCCCCCCCCCATCACACTGACACACCTCTACATTCTATCTCAAACAACTGTTTCCAAACAATAAACCTTCATCACAGAAATTTTTTACAATATGAAAAGTTTGGAGTATGAGTGTTTTCTCAAAATATATGTTCATTTATCTATTTCTCTGATATGGTATACAGGCTTTTTCTTTTTAACATGTATTTAAATGTTGTATGTTAATTCCGAATGATTCATTTGAACCACAGTCAATGGCTCAGTGGTCTAAAGTGCCTGAGTACTGTTTTAGTACGTGTGAGTCTGGTGCCATGAGAGATTAGTACCCCAGGTGGACGTGGCAACCTATAGAATCTGTAGTTCGAGGCTATACTGCATTTGACACCTACCTATTTTGTTTATATATATATTCTAAAAGATGACTTATTTGATTTTATACAAAACCAGTCATCACATATGACAAATGAGTCAAGATTGTAAATGTGTGTTAATTTCATGTAACTTTGTCTTGCATCTTTTGCAAATCCTCAAGTTCTCACAGAGTTTTTCTTCTCCTAATACACAAATTTTCTCAGAGTGCTTTGAACAGAGCATCACTCTGTGCTTTTTTCCACATTACACAATGAGCATTTCGTGTTTTAATAATGGAACAAAATAGAAATTGAATTCATTTTATCCCACGTGAACAACCTTTGGGATTGGTGAATTCTGAGGCTCAGTTTCACAAAATTTTTCTGAGTCACTGTAGCTTGGCTTTTATGAGGCCAATACCATCTGTTTGATAGTGTTAGTATTTTTAAAGCCAGTAAAGTCTAAATTTTATCTGTCGTTTATTGTGATGATAAAGTGAGTGTGTGTGTTTTGTGTGATTGACGTTTGTTCTGTTAACACTTAATGCAAGATATCCCTTAGGAATACATATAAGACGTTCTTTGAAAAAAGCCACAATGTTTTTGTTGTATAGAATACTATAAATCACTTTTAGTATTAACAGCAAATATTCAAACTCCCTTACAGAGCAGTCTGGTACAATACAATTTGCATAAAGATGTATTTAGTTTGCTTTTCTGTTGATGAAGATAGTGTCATTTATGTTGAATTAATGATAACTGCAGTTCTTGAAGTCCTTTATTGCATTTTCAGTAGTAGAAAGTTTACTTGAGACACAGGTATATGTTGTTGCATTTTTGAAGTCTGCATCTTTTTATCTTTAGAATATATTTACCATATTGAAAAAAAGGTGATTCTGAGTTTTTATGAGTACAGTTGCATTGCATCTAGATTATCTGTAGAAATAAGATATTGATACGTATGTGGATTGTGTTTGTCTCATTCATAAGACCCTATTCTCCCTTCAGCTAAACTTCACACAAATGATCCTGTTTGGAGGCACTTAAGTCTTTGGGTGAGCTCTCAGAGTAGAGTCAAGGATAGTCCTACTTTGAACACTGTAAATGCTTCTGCTTTAAGAATCTGGTGCCATCTTCTCAGTTTCTCAGCTTTTAAGACCAAAGCTGTTGTTTAAAACTTCAGTAATGCCTCAGCTTACATTACATCTCATATATTGTAAATGTGTATTAGATATGCATTATCTATATTTAATATTCTATTAACATGCAAAGTACAAGTAACATGTATTTTGTGTTTGTATGTAACTCCTTTATGTGGTGCATAATCTACTGTTTTTAAGTGATTCATAAGGTTAAAGGTTAATTTCCAGTGTTATAAGGTATGTATTTTTACAGAAGAATAAGGTGTGCTCTAATGTGTATGTAATAACACCAATAACCCTGTATTTTCTCACCAATGCAAATTACTCTATGCATTTATATTCTTTCAGTACACAAAATATTTATCTGTTTTTTTTTTAAGTGTAGGTTAGAGATCATCCACCTTGCTCATTCCTTTAATACCATAGTTTGACATGATTTGTGAAATCTGATCTGTTCATGTCTTTTAAAACATGATTGTGCTTAGCTGAGGAGAAATTCCAGTTTCTGATAATAGGGATACATTATTTTTAATTCTTTAGCAGGACAGGAGAAACAAACAGTGTTTTTTTAAGGTTATTTCTTGTAGGTTTGCCAATGAAGACACTTGCTAGTAATGCATTTGAAATATGAATTATTTAAAAGAGTTTAGGATTAACATACATTTGGTACAGAGTTGAATTAGTAGACTGTTATCGTTCTAACTTTCATGTCACTTATTATAAAATTGTTTATTTTCCCACAGCTGTGTTATCAAGATTTGATTTTGTGTACCCTCCTTATATGACATCATGTGAGGACAGTAAGATAATGAAGGCAGTGACAGATGCTGATGGAGATCTTCAAGTCACAAGAAAGAACACTCTCCATAAGAAAGAAGGTGTTGTTCTCATTGGTAAGATTTTCCTGAGTTTTGGAAGATGTGATAGTAATGAATTCCAAGGTTTAAAGGCACTTTAATCATTTTTAGCATGTGAGACCTTGGTTTTTCTCAATATGTGTGTATAAGGCTTCTGGACAGTGCTAGATAGAATTGTGATGACATATTTTGTTATTAATTTTGCAACTTTTTGACAGAGGAAGAGGACTGTAAACTGTGAATCTGAATTACTTATGTGTTCTCAGCTATGTTTTCTAATAAACCTTATTCCTTCCTTGCAAATTTTGCTTATTTCACCATATGCCACTCTGCTTGCTGTCCGTCTGCTTGGCTTTCCATCATATACACCTCATGATTTGCCTGCTTTGACTTCTTGTTTGTGTGATGATGATCCTTCCAACCCTTGCAATGTACTTAATGACCATTGCTTGCTGATAAATATGGGATGATCTGCAGAACAATATCTCTTCTTATCAAAGGAAAGGGGTAAGACCTAGATCATCATCTTAGATTATATTTTGATTGGGGTCTTTGAGTTGAGGTCAAAAGTTGAAAAGGGTGTAAATGTTAAGGACTTTTAGTGATTGCTTTGTACATCTGTTGATATATTACTAATAAAAAAAGATAAGAAAGGAATGCTTAGAGATAGTTTTGGAGTTCCATATTAATTTTTCATTGTATAACCTGTCCAGTATGTTTAATTTCCCTTTGCTGTGAGAGATTAATACCCATTAGAAAGGATCTCGAGATCACTATTAGATATTTCAGTATTACAACTATTTCATCATCTGACAGAACACCAGAGTGCCACAACTTTAGACTTGGTCGGTGAACAAGTTTGGCGTGGGGCACTGTTCCTCGCAGACTTCATCCTCCACCATCCTGAGATCTTTAAGAATGCTAACATCCTGGAACTGGCTTCTGGGGTTGGACTGACATCCATAGTTGCAGGGATGCTTGCAAAGAAAGTTGTGATTACAGGTAAGGTGTTTTGTTGTGACAGAAACAAGTGGTATGAGAGTTTGTGATGTATTATTTCATCACTGTTATTGGAATTGTCTCTTATTTCCTTTCCCTTTCTGTGAGTGATGTGCACAAAAGGGATATCTTGCTCAGTATCAGCTGATAAAACAAAGCATTTGTCAACACATTTGTTGCAATTATACAGCATTATTATTCATTTTCTCATTACTGACTGGCAGCATTAGGTAGACTTCTAACTAATGAAAAACTGTGCTTGAAATAATGGAAGATGTAGCACCCATAGAAAAGAGTTCACTGCACTGAATCTGGTTAAAGATTCTAGCCTTAGAAATTCTTGTCAAGAATATGAAAACAGTCAGCACACAAACTAGAAATTATTTAAAGGTGCTGACATGTTTGAGGTTACTTTCATTTTTTTTTTCTTCTTCTTTTAATAATGTTGCTAGCATTCTATCCAAACTCCTGGAAACCTGGGAAGTCTACAATCTGAGTTGCAACCCAATATTTGGACAGTGTCAACCAATCACTGGGGTGCCCATGGTATTGGTGCACTAACAAATATCTGCCACATATATTCTGGGAAGATAGAAGTTGGACTGGTTCCATGTGTGACAATAGGTCATAAGGGAGGTCAGTGTCAGAATATAGTGATGGAGGCTTGTTGGTTCTTAATGGAACACTAATAGAAGAATATGCTGGTTGGTTGTTGAAGCCAGTGATAGGTGTGTGGGTTACTTCTAAATATTATCACATCTGTACTCTATAAGTTATGAAATACAAATGATGGATCCAATGTGTTAACTAGAAATTGATATTCATGACATATGTGTTTCACACATGATAACATACAATGAATTATAAGGGAAACCGTAAACTAGAAGAATACAGTACAGGTACACAGCAGTTAGGTTTGTAATATTTCATCATGTTCAGATAACAGATGCTAACATACCTGACATCTTCACATGATACTGTCCTATGTTTGCTCTTTCTACTCCAGTTTTAATTATTTTATTTATTTATATTTTTCTTTCTTTTCTTTTCTTTAGCAGAAGATCATTTAAAGGAGCACTTGAGACCTGAATTTAGGTGATTTTTTGAAAGTGCTTAGTATACATATATACATTCTTGTCATCCAGAGTTGCACACCGTTGCTGATTCTGCCCTGTTTATTCATCTAATTATTAAGTCCATCTGTCATATATTTCTTTGCAGACGTGGATCGTGGTGATATTTTGACTCTTATTGATCGTAATGTGGAAAGAAACAAAGATCTGATGAAAGCGGAAATTCTTGTGAAGGAAATAGACTTCTACGACCATGCTACAATTGATGAAACCTACGAGTCACTTAAAGACATCTCTGTCATTATGGCTGCAGATAGTAAGTTTTTAAGTTTATTATTGTGTGGCAGTTCTGATTTGTTAAAAATTTTATTTTATTCTAACATGTAAATAAAAGCTTGTACTGGCTGTTTAATCATAAAGTAGAGCTCACCCATTGTTTGAAATATCTCCAATGAGTTGTTAAGGTCAGTAAACACAACTCATGATCAGATCTAGATTAAATGAAAGGCTTTGGAAGTAGGTTAAAGCTCGTGTTGGAAATGCATTTAGATATTCCAGATATTTTGGTGAATCATCTTTTGTTCTTCGGATGTTTTATATAAAGGAATACTTTGATTTTCAGTTGCATGAGTTTTCTTACAATAATAATGAAAACAGTTATTTTAGGGTATGTGCATTTGATAAGATAAATCTTGACAGATAATTCAGATCCAAAATACCATAGTGGAAATAAATGTATCATGTACATTGTACTATTCTTTCCAATGCTACAGATATGAATTTTGTTCTGCAATTAAACATTACATTATTTGATTAGATATTTTGAAGATTGTTAGAAAGCATAAAAGGAGTCTATAGTTAGAATGTATGAAGATAATTAATGAGTTTTTCCCTCTTTTCTACAGCCATTTATCACAACCAGTTAACAGACCAATTCTTCAGAACAATATTGAGATTGATGAGTGAACCGCCAAACAAGACAATGTATGTGGCCTTAGAGAAAAGGTATGTGTGCTTGTCAGATTCATTGATTTTGGTATGAGGGAAAAAGTAGCAGTGTGTGTGTTTGTGTGTCTGTGTGATATATTTTATATTTCATATAAGTTGTTGACTGAATTGATGCAATATCTAATAAAGTATTTGATTTAAGGAAATATGAAACAAAATAGTATGATGTTTTAGTACGTATATAGGAATTTTATCATAAAGGGCTGAATGAGGTGTAGATGATATTGGTGAAAGTTAAAATTGAAATTGAAAATGTAAGACAAAAAAGTTATAAGAGATGGCAATATAGTGCTCCTTTTTACAGATTTGTGTTTACAGTAGAGGACTTGGACACAGTAGCTCCCTGCTATGACTATTTCCTCGATCGCTTAGACTGGCTGCGTTGTCAGAATTTGGCGACAATCAACTGGACTATAGAAGAGGTCCCCATCGATTTCAAGCAGTACTTCATCTACGAAAAGACCCGGCATTTAGTTCTGTGGAAAATTGCTGCCAAGCTAAAATGATATTTCAGAAATCTTTTTTTTTT